TGTTTATTTTACTGTGTTCATTTTGTTTCTGTTTGTGACATTATTTTAAAAATTGCATCACTTCATTCTGGTGTTTCATATGTGAATTTCAGTCACATACTTTTTTAAACTGTCCTTTTACTTCTGCTTTCTCACAAATACTTCTGTGAGGCTTTGAGCAAAATGCATCAAACCAACACTTCAGATCATCAGCTCCACCTCTTTCTCCCATCCTCACACAGTCCTCTCCATCAGGATGTTCACCATTTGTCCCTTTCCAATTGTCTGGCTCACCTTTGCTCCAAAACTTCAAAAAACTAAGAGATGAAGAACAAAAATAATTAGTTTAGTAAAAACTAATAACTTTAAGTCGGGAAATGAAAAAATATATTTTCACAACAATCAAACCTTTGATCCAGTTGTGACCCATCCACCCACAACCATCTGCGCTCTACTGCTGAGTCTGTCAGTCCAATCCAGAACTTGTCCTCAGGTTTAGTCATTACATCTCTCAGTCTTCTCTCCAGGAACCTCTGATCAGGAAAAGAAGATGAAAATGACTTTGTTAGACTTTTCTGTGCTGAGAAGGTGAAACATAAAGATGTGATATAGCATGTAAGAACATGAACCTGCAGCAGTGTTTCATACCTGCTCCTCTCTGCTCTCTATCTTAACCAGGTCTCCTCTTCTAGCTTTACACTCCTCTCTGCTCTGTTCCCAGGATGATTTACTGATGGAGAAGTAATAGCACTTTCCTCCATGTTGCTCCCAGCCTTCTTCACATTTATAACAAGGATCATCTTTGAAGAGATTACAGCAACGACTTCAGTCAGGTGGAAGAAATCACTGTTCATGTTTGTGTGAACTTAGCTTGAAGTTTGTGTCTCAGAGACAAAATCCATAACTTACCTATTACTTTAGGTACTGGACAGGTCGGCTGCACCGTGATGCATGATTTTATCTTAGAGAGAGTCTCTGTTAGAATAAAGAATAAAACAGTCATCAGTCATTCATCGGGAATGTCTGACCAAATATCACAGTATACCAGGTGTATATGCTTACCTGTGAGATTACTTTCACACTTCGTTAGTTGGTTAGTTCTACTTTTATCAAATGCTGATAAAAAAAATATCAAAAGCAAGTAAACAAATTAGTCAGTAACTTTTTTGTTTACGCTGAAAACATTTTTTACATCTGTTAGAAAGTAAAATACAGTATTTTGAGGAAAACATTCATCAGAAGCATTATTCTTCTTAACATTACTTAAAATAATTAATTTTACTTTAAGTCTTATTAAATTCTAATGTTAACTCACTGGTAAAACACAGAGCAATGAGAGCAGCTGCCAGGAGAACACTGAGAACCACCAGGACCACTCTCTCTGAGGTGACCTTTGACCCTTTGCTCACCACAGCTTGTTGAGGATCCTCTGAATAGTGAGAAAAGGAAACACATTAGAGATGTGAGATGTGGTGTAAATGTGGTTGGGAATTTTATTGAGCTAGATTTTAGATGTTAATGTTCTCGCTGTGTTTGTACAAAGAACACGATCCACTGGCTCATTCTTCGAGCACACAATCACAGATTTAAAACACACCAACCTCAAAGGTAAACATATGACTTATAAGCAAGGCAAACAATAACATATTTGACTGAACCGTATATTCATTGCACATTCCTGTCTTTAAAAATACTGGA